TTCACTTGTGTCTGTAAATAAGATTGTAGCCCCTATTTTCTTCTGAATTCTGTTTGCCTGAAAAATTGTCTTTCACCCCTTAACCCTGAGCTTTAACTTGTCCTTTGAAGCTAAGTGTGTTTCCAGCAGACAGCAAATGGATGGCTTTTTTTTTTTTTTTTAAATCCAATCAGCCAGTCTATGCTTCTTTAGTGGGGAATTCAAGCCATTGACATTTATTGGGATAATTGATAAGTGAGGTGGCAGTCTATTCATCTTATTTTGTGAAAGTCTATTGCTTAGTTTTTTCTGCATCATGTGGAAGCTAGGTTTTGTCTTTTAGTTTCTGAGTGCTTACTTTGCTGACAGTCCATTGTGATAGTCACTGTGTAGAACAGGTTGAAGTACCTCCTGTAGAGCTGGTCTTGTGGCAGACTTTCTCAATGTTTGCCTATAAATAAAGATTTGATTTGTCCATCAATTTTAAAGCTTAGCTTAGTAGGTTATAGAATTCTGGGCTGGAAATTGTTTTGTTTAAGTAGATTAAATATAAATGACAATTGTCTTCTGGCTTGAAAAGTTTTATTGCACAAGTCTGCAGTCATCCTCATAGGCTTGCCCAAGTAGGTCAATTGGCACTTACTCCTTTGGCTTGTAGAATCTTTTCTTTTGTCTTGACTTTGGATAGGTTCCTCACAATGTGTCTTGGAGAAGCTCAGTTTGACTTGAGATGACCTGGGGGCCAATATCCCTTTGAAAGGAGTTTGCCCGAATCTTTGGTGATATTTGGGAAATTTTCATTTATAATTTTCTCTAACAAGGCTTCTATTCCTCTGGAGCATCCTTCTTCCCCTTCTGGGATAGCTATAACTCATATGTTTGTACACTTCATGAAGTCCCATAATTCTATCAGTCAGGCATTCTGCTTTCTCTTCTTCTCTCACTCTTTAAGTATCTAGCTAGCTTGAGAGCTTTATCCACTATCTCTGAGATTCTTTCTTTTACATGGTCCAATTGGTTACTGATAACTTTCTACTGCATCTCTAAGTTCCCTAATTGACTGTTTGAATTTCTTTAGCTCTGCTATATCCTTTCTATATTATGCATATTGTTCATGTCTTATTGGTTCTGTTTTGGATTTCCGTTAGGTTATTTTCCACTTTCTCAGCAATATCCTTTATTGTTTTTGTCATCTATATTTTAAATTCCCCTTGTGTCTTTTCTAACATTTCTTTATTGGTGGAATAATCTGCAGCAGCTGCTCCATGTCCTCTTGGTGGGGGGGGGAGGGTTACTCTGGTCTGGCTTTTCATGTTGTCAGGATTTTTCTGCTGTGTCTTCTTCATGAGAGTTTTCCTTTGTTTATTTCCTTGCCCCATTTTTTTTCACTTCCTCTTGCTCTTTAAGTTGCTGTGCCTCTGACTAAAGGTGTTGATGTGTCCTTTTAGTACAGGAGTAAAAGGGTGAGAAGATTGAAAAGCAAGAAGGGAAAAACCTTAAGAGAGAGGGAGAGAGAAAGAGAGAGAGAGAAAGAGGGTAAATAAAAGGGAAGATTGCAAAAAAAAAAAAAGAGGGATACAGGAGTAATAGAGGTGTATATTAGGGTACTTTGACCCTCACCTTAAAAGCCCGAGCCTCTGGGGGAGCTGGGTGGGGTGGTACCCTTGAGGTCTGCAGCTCTTTGCCAGCCTGAGGAGACACAGCACCCGATCTCCACCAAATTGAGAGGAAAAACAAAAATACCATAAATCAATCTTAAACAAACAAAGAAAAAACCTTAGAGGATAAAATTGGGAGAACAAACAAACAAACAAATAACAGGGAAACTAGGAAAAGTGAAGCTCTTACTATTAAAAAGGCAGCAATGAAAATTATGTACATTAGATAAATGAAGAAATAAAGAAAAATAACAATCTAGGGAGAAAACTTTGAAATAAATAAAAAAGAAAACAGAGCAATAGATATTTTGTTTTGTTTCATTTTTGGTTTTTTCCTTTTTTTTATTTCAAAGTTTTCCGCCCTAGATTTTTTTCTCTTCATATATATATTTTGCTGAATATTGCCCAAGCAACAGGTGATCTTCTGGGGTATGAGATGGTAATCACAATGCTGATACAGCTGTATAGGATGGAGACTGGAGGCCTCTCTGTGTTACTTTTGCTCTCTAATACCATAGAGTTGAGAGCCTGATTCTCTCCTTAGCACACTTAAAAGACACTTTAAACTATGACCCTTGGCTAAGCAGAGGCTTTTCCAGGAAAGCGTATGTTACTGAGATCTCTCCTGAAGTGGCTGCCTATTTATCAGGCCCACCAAACTGGCCTTGCTCTATGCCCCTGAGGGCTGAGGCTTCAAGGCAGCTCTCCTGCTACCAACAATGAAATCCCCTCTCTTCCCTAGTATCTCAGTCCTGGCCTTCAGGCATTGTTCAGTCTCTTGATCACTAACCTAAGGTCTCCCAGCATGGGCCTCGCTCTGGGACCCTGAGGGTGGAGACTGAAGAAGCCTATAATGGCTGCACATGGCCTGAAGCCAAACAATGAAAGCTCTTTTCAAGCTCAGTGGTTCAGTCCTGGGCTCTGGAGATCACTCAAAGTCACTTGCACACTCGCCCAAGGTCTCCCGAGGTAGCTCAATTGAGTGGTCAAGTCTAACAAAAGAGAGCAACCCACAGGGAAGACTTACCCTGTCTGCAATCTTGCTGTTGCTGTAGCTAGTGCCCTGGCAGCCACCATAGCCTCAGACCCAATGCAACCACTTGCCACTTTTCCACTGCTTTTGTCCTCCTCTTGGAATACAGAAGTCTCTCGCTGCCTTCCTGCAACCCCAAAGGGGTTTTTTTGGGCCAAACCCACAAGCCAGAGGTGCCTGGCATCTTCTCCCCAAATCTCACTTGAGAAGCTGCTACTTGGCTGCCATCTTGCCTTAGGTGTCCTATATACCAATTTGTTATAAAAGATATTACAGAGGATACAGATGAAGAGCTGTGTAAAGTGAGTGCAGGGGAAGAGGGCACAAGATTTCCATGCACAAGTGGGCTGAGGAGAGAATCAGGCTCTCAACCTTATGGGGTTAGAGAGCAAAAGTAGCACAGAGTCCTCCTGTCTCCATCCTATACAGCTGTATCAGCATTGTGATTACCATCTCATACCCCAGAAGATTACATGGGTTTACCACCCTTCAGGGGCCTCCAGGTGTTCAGCTATCAAGATGGTCACTGAACCCAGTCCTCTTGGGTTTTATAGAGACTTTGTTACATTGATATGATTGAAAACTGTGTACAAATGTGATTGGACAAAAAGTGCATGATCTAAGCCCAGCAAAAGAAGGTCAGAGAAAGAGATCCTCTCTCCTTACGCCTGCTCTTGAGGCCTAAAGCACTCCAACATTATAATAAGGAGCATGGGACTTATAACCCAGGAACCATGGATAAAAACCAATATACCCATCATACTACCACACCACCATATATCCATGAATGAGATGGAAGACTAACAGGTCTCCAGGCAATGCTTTTAAGAATCCTACAAATATTTCTTTTTATTAAAGGGCTACAAAATTATAGCTATTATAGAGTATTGGGATAATAGTTTCCCTAATTCAGTTTTAAAGATCTTGGGTATAAAGGAGTTAGAAATAAAATTTTAGAGCCAATTCAATTTGGAGGAAGATACTTTCATCATTAATTAGGAACTCCAGGAGCATAATCATTATGGACACTTGCATTGTTCAACTTGCACAGGCATATGCACATCTTGTTCCATTATAAGGTTGAATTAGAAGCAACCATCCTATCAAACTGGAGACAGCAATGAGCTTTGCTGTAGCAATAAGTTAAACTCCTCTATTGATTTACATTCAGGCATACATAGCCCAGATAGCTAAAGAAAAAGCTATTAATTTAATTGGAAACTGTTCATATTCTAAGATCCTTCAGAGAAACAAATTCAAATGCCCTCCTTATATAAAAAGAATAGAATTGTGAGTATATATTTATGAGTAGATATCCTTTATAATTGACAATATCCAACTAAAGATTTGAAGGCACTAATAAAACACCCCACAATAGGGCAGCTTCATGAGCTCTTTCCATCTGGCAATTCCACAAGGAATGTTTTAATTGTCTGCTTATCTTCCATTGAATCCTGGAGAGGTGATTGTAGTTCTCCTGTTGCATACTGGGGAACTCCATCTGGCTGGACAGGAATCAGAAGAAAATATGTCTTCCTACTCTTCATTCCATTTATTCTTATTTCCTTCTTTATTAGAGGTGAGGCAGGAAGGGAAAAACTACTATCTTTAAAGAAATTTTTCTTTCTGTCATGGACTGCCAATGTTCTTGGTGCAATTAAATCATAAGAACTTTATTTTGGATTCTGAAAGTATTTACTTAATTCACCCCTCAAATATTTATATTGATTTAAATTAGACATTTTGGGGAATGATACTGGTGTGTGTGTATCTACATATTTATGTATATGTGCATGTATATACATGTATGAACATGTCTATGTATACATTTATGTATGTATGTATTTGTATATGTGCATGCACATCTATGTGGTTGTGTGCATGTGCATATGTGCACATATCCACATTCTGCTTGTTCCAGGCCTTATGTTCTTTTTATCCATAGTCACTAATAAATCATAAAGCTATTGTTCTTTGAGCTGTTCCATCTGACAGAACTATTATTTCTGGATGTTTCTATTCAAACATTCAGAATACTCAGGAACATGCCCCTGTTCCCATCCCAATAATTGCTCCGTTTTTCATAGCTCTAGGAGAGAAAACAGGTATTTCTTCAAATGTCCTTAGATTTTCATATGCTGAATACCTAATCTACTTATCTAAATCTACAAAGAAGGGGACAAACTTTCTCTTTGGGAACATCTTTATTGCATAAATATATTCATACCAATATATACACACACAGGAACATCCCTCTAGGCATCAATCATAGTCTATGAAAGACATAAAGGTCACTGGTTGCAGCTGAATTTCGTGGCACTTGTTTTTCATTATTTTCTGTTATCTGTGTCAGCAAAGCTCAGGAAGACTTGCTCCAGTGTTACCTGACTGATAGAATAGTCTTCTAAATCAAATTGCTCTTTAGCTTTCTCCAAAATGCCGAACACCTTTAACAACAACAATAAAAATGCAGTTACCATCATAATCTCCCCTTTAGCCACCAACACAGACAAATTTCTCCTACACCTTCCCCAATTCTTGTCACGTTTATGTTGGTGAACAAAGGAACAGAAGAGGGGAGGTGAGAAAGTAAAAGAGATAGGCAACTGAGAAATCCAGAGTAGGCAGTTCCCATTCTCTTAATGAACATAGACTGATAATGGGATTTAGGGACATAAATTAAAGCAATTAAACTATAGGGTTATCTAAAAAGTAACCTAAAGGTACTCCTCCTTTCACAATTCCAGGATTCTATTCAACATGCCAGAATCCCAAATACTACCCATCATTAATGCTCTCTTAACACATAATGTTAGAAGGGCATAGGTTCTACCATCACCTGTCCCCAGCCGGTGTCCTTTCTGGGAATGTAGTAGTTAAGAATCCCTTGATTCTCATGCTTTAAGACACTGTCTAAGAAAGAAAAATAGGACAGGTGAATAATCTTATAGATTTCTTTTAAATTTCCAAAATATTGCTACATTTACTTAATTATATACAGTGGAAAAGTGAAGAGATGGGGTTTACTGACTTATGCTTCATGGTCCATTACTGGAACGGTAGTGACGGGAGTGAATGGTAGTGAATGGGAGTTATTTCTATACTACTGCTCAAGGTCATCACTGAGCCTGATTTTTTTCACACGTCTTCCTCCTGAGGGTACATGTTATCATGTGGTATGCAGAGTTAGTCACTGCTGCAGATACCAGCATGCTTGGAGCTTGTCAAAAAGTCATGAAAAAAATTAAAAAATTTTAACCTCTGGCATTAATGGTTAATACAAAAGGGGATGTGACCCAATAACCCACTCTTTTTGGCATATGTAACATAGCTAATTCTTTCAACAACAAATTTAATCCTCATGAAATAATCTTATTTTGTGGCTTTCATAGCAATTATTAAAGTGAGGCTTTAGGTACAATAAAATGTCAGCTCATGTGCCCAGTGTAAAAATTCTGAGACTTCTAAAATTCCACTATTACTATAGGACTTTATTTCTGAACCTTGTGCTAAGAATATGAACTGAAAGAGTTTTCCTCCTGGATGTGTTTGTGCTTGTACAGTGTTTTTTGTGCAGAGAGCAAGACAAGATTTCCCCACTATTCCAGTGATTATGTAATCTCTCTGTCATGTAAAATAATCACCAAATTCAGCCCATGTGCTCTTGTTTTTTACATAGGTAAAAATCTAATGATAGACTTAGAAGGAAGAGGGTGGTATTCAGCCTTAATTTAGAACAAATAGCTTATCAGTACATATTTACATATTTGTGCAAATGGAATTAACTTTGATTTAAAATATTTTCAAGGAAAAATATGTTTGTAATAGTTTGTGGATTTTCTTAATATTAATCATAGGCACATATTGTCTCCATGATCATGCAAAACCCCTTTATTGTGAAATATTTTGAGCAAAAAGCTAAATGAATTATTCTAATCAATCCATGATGAAACCACCCCATCCAGGTCAAGTAATGGCAACTCATTCATTCTCAGTGCAGCTTCTCAACCTTTATATTCCCATAAAAATAACCAATACTTGAATTGTTATTGTGGGCATTGCTTTTTTTTGCTACTGAAGAAGGTTTCTTAATTTCACAGATAAAAATTGTGTATATTTATTGTGTAAAACTTGTTGTTTTGAAATAAAATATGCAAACATTGTGGAATGGCTAAATTAAGGTAATTGACATATATATTACCTCACATACTTACCAGTTTTCTGTGTTAAGAAAACTTAAAATCTACTCTAAAAGAGTAGTTTTCAAGAACAAAATACATTGTTGTTAACCATAGTCACCATATTATACAATAGATCATCTGAATCTATTCCTGCCAACTGAAATTTTGTATCCTTTTACCAACATCTTCCAACTCCAACCCCTCTATCCCAACCCCTAATAACTACGAAAGTATTCTACTTTCTACTTGTGTAGGAACTGAACTTTAAATTTCACATGTAAGTGAGATCCTGTGGCATTTCTTTTTCTGTCTCTGGCTAATTTCATTTAACATAATATCCTCTAGGTTCTTCTATGTTGTAAAAAATGACAGGATTTCCTTTTAAAGCCAAAGAGTGTGTGTGTATATATATATATATATATACACACTCTATATATGCATTTTCCTCATCTATTCATTTGATGGTGGATACCTAGTTGGACATTTATATGTCTTCTATTCAGATTCTTTGCCAACTTTTTAATCAAATTATTTGATTTTTTCTTATTGAGTTGTTGAAGCTCCTTATATGTTTTATTTACATATATACATATGACAATATAACAAGAGACTAATAGTCTCTCTCTTATTATAGACTATAACTAATATTAGTATCTTGTGACATATGTAGTATGGAAATAATTTCTCCCATTAATGTGATACCTTTGTTTTGTTTTGGTTGCCTGTGCCTTGGGGATATTTCTCAAGAAGTCCTTACCCAGACCAATGTCCTAAAGTATTTCTCCAATGTTTTCTTTTAGTAGTTTCACAGGTTCAGGTCTTAAATTTACATCTTTAATCCATTTTTATTTGATTTTAGTATATTTGTATGGTGAGAGATAAGTATGTAGTTTCATTCTTCTGCAAATGGATATCTAGTTTTCTCAGCACCATTTATTGAAAAGACAATCCTTTCTCCACTATATGTTCTTGATGTCTTTATTGAAGATAAAGTCACTTAGATATTTGTGGATTTATTTCTGTGTTCTCTATTCTCTTGATTGGTCTATGTAACTGTTTTTATGGCAGTACCATACAGTTTTGGTTACTATAGCCCTGTAGTATAATTTGAAGTCAGGTAATATTATTCCAGTTTTATTTTTTTTGTTCAGGATGAGTGGCCATTCTGGGTTTGTGGTTGCACATAAATTGTAGGATTAACTTTCTGATTTCTTTGAAGATTGTCATTGGTATTTTGATATAGATTTCATTTAATCTTTAGGTTTCTTTGGGAAGTATGGATATTTTAATAATATTGATTTTTGCCAATCCAAAAACATGGAATATCCATCTTTTTTTGGTGTCTTCTTCAATTTCTTTCATCGATGTTTTCTATTTTTTCATTTTAGACATCCTTCACTTCTTTGGTTAAGTTCATTTGTAGGCATTTTTTATTTGTGATATTGTAAATAGGATTGATTCCCTAGCTTCTTTTTCAGATTGTTTTCTGTTGGAATATAGCAATGCAATTAATTTTGTATACTGATTTTATATTGTACAACTTTATTGAATTTGTTTATCAGTTAGAATAGTTTTTTTGTGAAGTCTTTAGGTTTCTCCAGATATAAGCACATATCATTTGCAAACAAGGATAGTTCTACTTTTCCTTTACAATTTAAATGTTCTTTATTTCTTTCTCTTTTCTAATTGCTTTAACTAGAACTTCTAGTACTATGTTGAATAATAGTGGTAAAAGTTGGTATCCTTGTCTTTTTCCAGATCTTGAGGAAAGGTTTCAGTATTTCTCCATTCAATATGATACTTACTCAGTTTCTTTTTGAGAGTTTTTATCATGAGGGAACATTAAATTTTATCAATACTTTTTTCAGTATCAATTGAAATGATCATGTGGTTCTTGTCCTTCCTTTTGTTGATATGATGTATCACATGGATTGATATGTGTATGTTGAAACTTACTCACATTTGCTGGAATGAATGTCACTAGTTCATGGTGAGTAATCTTTTTAATGTGTTGTTGAATTCTGTTTGCTAACATTTTGCCGAGCAGTTTTATCTATGTTCATCAGCAATATTGTCCTATAGTTTTCTTTTTTGTTGGGTCCAGTTTATGTCTTTTGATTGAAGAATATAATTCATTCACATTCCAGGTAGTTAATGATAGGCAAGACATATCCACTATCAATTTATTATTGTTTTATGATTGTTTACTAGGTCTTTTGTTCTTTATTCTCTTTACCTAAGCTGATATGTAGAACAGTTTTTCCTACATTTTCTTCAAGAATTTTTATGGTTTTGTGGCTTAAATTTAACTCTTTGATCCATCTTGAGTCAATTTTTGTAAGTGGGGAGAGATAGGAATCCTGTTTCATACTTCTGCATGTGGCTATCCAATTTTCCCAGCATCATTTATTGAATAAGGCTTCTTTAATCCAGTTATCTACTGTCAAAGATCATTTGGTTATAGGTAGAGATGGTTTTACCTGACAATTGTTGAATATCATTATGGTCACCTATAAAGTACCATCATTGGGAAGCTATGCACCAATATCAGTGCCTAGGACACCCTTCAAAGCAATTTTGGAACTCTTTCTGCAATGACTTTTCTTTGGGTAAAGAAAAAAATCATTGGGTGCCAAATCTGATGAGTAGGGAGAGTGTTCCAATACAGTTAGTTTTTTTACTGGCTAAAAATTCCCTTACAAATAGTGCTGTGTGATCTGGTGTATTGTTGTGATGCAAGAGCCATGAGTTGTTGGGGAAAGGTTTAGGTTGTTTTTAACTAACTTTGTCATGTAGCCTTTATAACACTTTCAATTAGAAAACTTAGTTAACTGTCCAGTTGGTACAAATTATTATTTTT